GCTTGCCCAACTTTCATTTTTTATGAGACCTGAAGAGTTATCGTTTGATGTTTGATGATTTCAATAGCTTCAATATATTGTGGAAAGACTATTGTGCCTGTATCCCCCCTTAAATTTCATTCTAGTCAAATCATATCACCTGAATATATATTCCTCATCCGATAAGGATGAGTTTTAACGTGTTTTGTTTATTTAATCTGAACATACTGATAGACATATAAATGCCACTCAAAGAAAGTTTTCCTCATCGTTAAAATTTAAGGGGAGGTGTGTGTGTGTGTGTGTGTGTGTGTGTGTGTGTGTGTGTGTGTGTGTGTGTGTTACGGACGGAAGTCTTACCACCATGGAAATTCGAGTGTGATTTCCTCATATACAAATATGTTTGAACATATTTTATACATGTCAGCTGCATTGATACAATACCATACATCGGGTATTTTTCGTGTTTTTTCTAAAATAATTGATAAACAAATGATAAATAAACAACTGCATTTCAATGATGATTCACATATAATCATGACTGTAACGAAACATCCTCATACATGTCGATGGAAAAACAATCATCACTGAAAGTTATGATATGAATAATAACCTGTTTACTGTAAATGGTAATGCTTTAATCAAAGAATATTGTAGTCAGTATGATACATAGAGGGATTTCCACTTTTTAAATGGAACGTGTGTTTGGCAAGAATTAGAAGAAAAATTATTTTTTAGCAAAGATCATGTGTATGCTCGAGCTGTTTTTTTATAATGGTAACTACGCCCCTGTTTGCATGTGTTGTTGACGCGGCATGGACTCCTTGTAACATCACTATTTGATTATGATTCACAAACACATGCCCATGCCCAGATACTTATCATGAAAACAGGTTTTTATGTAGGTGGCTTGAAACTCGCTTTTACAAAGGCCTATAGGTTCGATCACAATACATTTCGTTTTACAGCTTCTCCTTTCTTAACATGCTCAAGTCAAAACTGATTTAAATTCTAATCACAGATTAAAGAATAACACAATAAATAGTATGCCAAATTATCGTTACCATGACAACCCTGTGATATTTCACCTTATGTAAAAGAGTAATGCAGATGATACTGTCGGCTGTAAATTTTGATAAGTTGCTTCATCGCTATCAATGAACACTGGGTAGCTATACAATTATATGTGTGATCAAAAGCCATATGATAGATTATGTGGTTTCTGGTGTGATGGAGGAGAACTTGCGTCGCTAGTTTTCTCGATAATCTGAACACATGTATGTAGCGTGAAACCGGCAGATACTTTAGAAGAAAGTGTTTGCCCTACCTGTAACAACGATGTCCCGTGTCTATAAAAGGGATATAATGTGGAGATGAATGACATGTACTCTTATCTTGGCCCGTTTATGATGATACATACTGCGATCTTTCACAAGAATCCCTCTGGCTATCAGATTGAAGGTACGTTTTAAACATAACCGGTATTTCTATTATTGTATTTATAAAGTTCTTCGAACGTTCTCCATATACGTCCGTCATATACATCGCGCACTACCCTTTTCTCTTTTGATCTTCTCAAACGACTGTTACAAGTTCGAAGAATCCTGGTCAAAGTAGAAAAGTCTTAAAGGTCACATGCAACGTAAAACACAACTTTGCAGATTCTGATACCTTTTGGTATGGACTTACCGAAACAAATCGTCAAAAAATGCAAATTCAACTTATAAAGTTGAAAAATAACGCGATGAAAAAAACCGCGCGAAATCGGAGTTCAAACGTTTCACTAATTTTCCCCAGACTTTTCTGGGGAAAACGGGTTTCAACAGCTGGGCTGCGCTCATAGCACGTGCGCAGTGAAATAGGTTCGCGCAGCTTGGAAGCGGGTTGTCCGGTGAATACTCGGTGAAGGCTTTGGTGTGAGCTATTTTTCTAATGTTTTGTTGATATCTCACAGGCGCGAGCTTTTTATATGTTATGACAGTAAATTAACTGTTTATATAATTTCACCACACGTTCTTCTTACCGAGTCACTTTCTCAGTTCGATACTTAAAAGCAATGTCATTATTTAGCGTTGACAGAATTTCTAACTGTGATATAGATATGTCGTTGTCACAGACAAAACTCAATGTCTTGTTTTATTGACACCTGTGTGTCTGCCTGCCTGTCTGCTAATGACGATATTCAATACACAGCTACTATCACTGACCACATGCAATTTGAACTTAACACCAATCAGGCTATACACCATAAACAAAATGCATTGATTTATGGCCCGAGTTCGGTCTCTGTCACATTATGTAATTACACAGACAGGCAGGTGTGATAGTTTAACACATGACATGTTATGATGTCTGTTGATTGCAAAATGTTATACACAAAAAATGAGCATGTATTTACAAAACCCAACATCTCTACATATACACACACAATAAGCCGTGAGGGCATCTGCAAATGAACCAGCCGTTACACTTGAGTGCACACCCACCCACACCTCTGACTGGGTTCGGTATCCCGGCTGCTTCGTTTCTTGGGAAGTAAACCGAAGTACACAATATTGCACTTTTGATTTGCGATTGTACGCTTATAATTTTGTTTATATGTTTTTTCATAACCAGCAATGTATATTATATGTCATGAATAAGTGATAATTGTGTTTTAATTATGTTTGATTTTTTGGTTGCATGTGACCTTTAAGACTATTCCCTACAATTCTGTAACTTACACATTGTACCCTAAATGGGTAGAGCTTTCGTTCGGGGGGAATATCAGGACAACGATACAGTTATTTCCAATGTTGTAGAAAGATCTCCACTTACTTAGGAAAACACTGAGATATTGTATTCATGTCGGAATGATATTTTCAGCCCCTGTCAGATCAGAACTTGAACATGCGATGTCCGCGTCTGTGTCAGACTAAAGGCCTATAAAATGTTTAGCAACACTGGGGCGTAATAGCCATAGATCTTCTCCAAACAAGGGAATATACATCTTGTGAGAATGACTTTTTTCGACAGGGAAATTTACAGCAGTGCGACATCACAATTACTTACGTGATATTTACTCGCAATCTGAGTTATGGATCGTCAGTTTAAACAGGACAATATAGACGAATTTCACAAAAGGCACGGAGATCCAACATGTCTATGATATACTCAGAGAACGCACCCGCCTGTGCTATCCGGTCATAATCGCTACTCGATAAAAAACAATTTTTCATTTCATGTCTCACAGAATATATAATTTGATATGGCATTGTTTCTTATTGTATACTTTTGCGTTAGTGAAACAAACTTTAAAGTTTATGTATGGCGTTATTACAGCAAAGGCTGAGCGAATGGAAAATAACATGGTTCAGGCACTGTGAGACTATTAAGAAGGTCTCATGCAGTGCAATAATATTCCAATTATGTACTGCCACAAAATATTTTACAGTAGATGCGCGAGCTGATAGGACTTAGGAAATTACGAGTTGGTTCGTGTAGCATATTTGACTGCGCTCCAAGAGAGACAAAGTGCTATTCTTTTGGGGCAGCGAGGGACACTTGCGAGGACAAAGGGGCAACGTATCGCCCTTTGTTCACCACTGAATCTTTCAATCCCTCGAAACATGCACCTCACAAGATTTGCCAACACCACAGACAAGGCGTAACTGATACTGGTAGCAAGAGCGAGTGCAGCTTAATAAGGCGTGTTAGCTTGCGTAATACCGCTTTCTTTGTCAGGCTCTTTGGTGATAAGAATATTGAGGTCACGTGAACGTTGATTTCAAACGTACTAAAATGTGTGAAAGTGAAATTACATGAGCCAAGTAATTCACATGATGGAAACATGATCATCTTGCTTGAGTACAGGTAACATGATGGTGTATGAACCGTTCATATACTTACCCCTGAAATCCGGTATGATACATAAATATCTAAGGTGTGTAAACATTTGCAAATTTGAAAATTTACATGTGTTTTCCCACCTAAGTAAATTCACATGTTTCCAACCCGAGTAAACTTAGAACGAAATCGGAAATTTCAGCACCCATTGAAATTCAAAGGAATGCATTGGAAATACTGTATGATCATGTATTTACCGGGGTATCTGTTTTGCAATTCATATTTGGAAATCCCTGACAATCCGGTCAGGGCATACATGAACGAGGTGCTTGTGCAAACGAAAATGTACGATGAGCGTATATGTTTCAAAGGTATAGATTCATATGAAATATATGCCCGAAGTTAGGAAATATCTGAAAACATACGTAAACCCGGTCATGGCATGTATTTCCTACTATATTTACGTTTATTTCAATGGTTTACTATCCGGTTTTTGGTGCTGTGCCTAAAACAACACACATTACAGGAACATCTCTGCCACGTCCTGCAGACTGGGTTTGGAAGTAGACATGTAATAATACATGGATACCTTAGTGGACAACGCTAGGTCAGGCACAAGAACAGTGTTATGAACTGACACACTGCACCTGTACGAAGTCTTGCACAGGCCTTTGTAAATGTTACAAAGCTGGTCTAAAGTGCACTGCTTTGTGCCACTTTGAAGGAAAGTGTTTCCAGTGACTGTTCATGAATATTGGAACTGTAGAAAGATGTATTGTACTGATATTCCTGGTCACATCTTAAACAAAGTAAGGTGGTTATTTAAAACGTTCTTTCCAGATTGTAAGAAAAGAAACTATTTCTTTGTGATTGCGGAAATTTCATGAGAAGAATATAATACATGTAAACTTCTCTTGTGATATGGTGATGGGTTAATAATACAACAGAATCGTTTACTTGCAAATACTAGTAAGTACTGAAAGGTGTCTGTATTAAATTGATCTCTGAAACTTTGCATTTGTAAAATACTAACCGGAATACTTCTTACATTATAAAGCATAATACCAACAGATCATACACAAGAGTGCACAAATATATACATTCATCTGCTGCTATTTAAAATGTCTTTTTTCACAATATCAAATATCAAATATAAAATATTAGAAATAGCCTTTTAAGCCACTGTATTCCCTAACCTGAAAGGTTGAAAAACCGGTGACTTCTTGTACCGGATGTTGCCCGGGTCGATCACCATCGGCATGATGTCAATGTGACACAGGGGAGGTAACTCTGGCTGCGCAGGGATGAAAGAGGTCAGGTTTTGTCCCATGACCTCTTCGAAGGATGGTGGAGCATTAGGTCCTGATTTGAAATCATCAGGGGTAGCAGCGCAGACACTTTTCCCAGGCTCTTGATCATCGTAGGAAACAGGGCCATTCGCTTCTTCTTCCTTCGATAGTGCTGGCGGCTTCTCAGACATTTTTGGAGTTCACTGTATTTCAGACTTATATCTGAAGCAAAAAGGAACGATGATTAGACCACTTTTAGATATAAACTCTGTCAAAAAAGAAACGCAACCCCTGTATTTTAGAGATTTTGATCTGAAGTTTTAAGACGACACAGCATTTTTATTATTTAAGACAGAAGTCTGAAATTTGGCAGAATAATAACCAAGATGGGCATGTTTAAAATTGTCATTTCAAAAGTCATCTCACAGACACCAGTTTGTCACCAGGGGGGGGCGTCTTTCTCAGTATGTCGTATGAGCACCACGAGCTGCAATCACTGCACGGCATCTCCTTGGACAAGAACGGATAAGACGCCGGATTCTTTCCTGGGGAATGGCTCTCCACTCCTCCTGCAGTGCAACGCCGAGCTGTTGCAGCGTCTGTGGCGGCGGCTGACGTTGACGTACGCGTCGACCCAGAGTATCCCACAGGTGTTCAATAGGGTTGAGGTCTGGTGATTTAGAGGGCTATGGCAAGACATTGACGTTGGAATTCTGCAGAAAGTTCATTGTTGCACGTGCAGTATGAGGCCGGGCGTTGTCTGGTTGAAAAATCTGTGTCTGTTGGTCAATAATCGGGAGAAGGTGAGGCTGTAATACGTGGTTGATGTAACGTTGGGCTGTCAGGTTCCCTTCAACGATCACCAAGTCTGATTTCTGGTTGTATGAGATGGGTCCCCAAACCATAACGCTTTCTCCGCCAAATCTGTCCCCTGTCGGACGCAGATGGGCGCAAAACGTTCATGACGTCTCCTATACACACGTTTTCTTCCGTCGTGATGTTGCAAAGAAAACAGGATTCATCAGAAAACCAGATGCGCCTCCAGTTTTGTAAAGTCCATATCCTTACGTTGTTGCACCACCTGAGTCGTCGGCGGAGATGTAGGGGCGTAGTACAGGTCCAACAACTGGTCTACAGGCACGTAAACCCGCTTCTTTCAGACGGTTCCTAATTGTTTGAGCTGACACTCTCCTCAAACCTGGTATTTGTGTGGCAGTCACGGTTGGTAGGGCATGCCGATTACGCAGGTGATGGACCCGGATGTACCGATCTTGAAGGGGGGTCGTGATTCTTGGCCTTCCACTTCTCGGGCGATCGTTGGTCAAATTGAAGTTGTTGTAGCGGCTCCAAAGTCGGGATATCGTTGTTTTGTGAACATTTAGGTGCCGTGCAACAGTTCCAAAACTTTCTCCGGCTTGAACACGACCAATGGCGATATTTCGGTCGGCAGCACTCAATCGTGGCATTTTTCACACAGCTTTTCATGCGACAAATGAATGAATATAATACGAAAGCACATGGGCTTTTATACACCCCTACATTAACTGCCATTTTCATGATTTGCATGTGGTTTTTTTGTGCGAAGTCACCATGAGGGTCATTTCATGCGTTGTGACGGAATAAGCAATAAAATACACTTATGCGTACAAATGCAGTTGTTTGGATGGTAATCTTCATTAATTACGTGTATAATTTCAATACATTCGAATAACATTTAGTTTGGAAGCAATAACTTCATTCAAACGAATTTTTCATATCTGAGGACAGGGGTTGCGTTTCTTTTTTGACAGAGTTTATATCTCCAACTTGTATTTCTTAACACAGTACAGCCATTAGCCTTAACCCTGATAAGCTACTAAGGTAAAGTGAAGCCTATCCAATACTATCGGGGTCGGTGCTCAGGCTCGCTGACTTGGCTGATACATGTCATCGTATCCCAGTTGCATAGATCGATGCTCATGCTGTTGATCACTTGATTGTCTGGTCCAGACTCGCCATATAGCTGGCATACTGGAGTGCGGCGTTAAACAACCGACCAGGTATTTGATATAGGTATAAAGTTAGATAATTTAACTTGATCTTGGATCTTTCGGCCTGATAACGTGTTGATAACATCTGTAATGTTTTGGGTTAAATCCAAGTTTGTTGATAATTTAGGAATCTGTCATGAATTCCAACAAGAACAGCTCCCTAAAAGTATGTCTAACTATTACCATCGTATGACACGTGACTGACCCACTCATACATTTGGTCAGATCACACGATGGGATATTCCATAAATCCTCTACACATAATTCATAATTCTAATAGACATCTTTTCCATTCATTTCGCAATCGTGTTTGTAACTTTCGCAATTTTAATGCAAGTCAAACGCCACCGACAATCCCCAGCATGCATATACAGTCAGTAGGGTGCCTGTGACTCGTTTTGTACACTAGAGATCTGGCGACACAGTTACACAATAGAATGGCACAAAGGGGATATCGTATTTACGTCAAACCACGCGCTAAACGTGACAACGCCTGAACGTTACGGGCTATAGGGCGTGATTATATTTTGGTTCCTCTCCAAGTTTTAAGGCACAATAAGCACCATAAGCACATACTACTTGATGTGTATAACACCTAAACCTTCAGAACGAATAACCTGACAGTATGGATAAAATACTGCCGCTGTGGCACTCACTCACTCACGCACGCACTCACACACGCAGGCACGCACTCACTCACTCACTGAATTATATAAGAACATGAAAACAGAAAATGTAAACACTGTGACATGGAAGTAAATAAAAAAGAAATAATAATAATGAAGTAATACTTAAACATACATTGAACCAGTCAAAGACTGATTCAAAGTACAATCATAATTACTTTATCTGACAGCAACATTGTTCGTACAATATCAACTCGTCAAATGCTGATTGGCACAACTGATTACTGTCACCATCATATGAAAGTTAGATATATTAGAGCAGTTTTGCATGATGTGGGGTTTTGAAGTTAATCTTGAGAAATCATGTGTTGCAGTTTTTAGAAATGGAGGGTACTTAAGAAGATCAGAAAAATGGTATTTTGCGGGAAAGGAAATACTTGCTACAACATACTTTAAATAGTTGGGAGTCATTTTCTCATCTCGTTTAATATGGTCTAAAAATTGTGAAAAATAGCTTTACAAGCACAATGTGCATATTGTCCGATTTATCGTTTGTTACGTAACTACCCAAATATTGAATATTTTTTATACAAAAATAGCTCCTATAGCCTTTTATGGCAGTGACATTTGGGGATACTGTTTCAGAGATTCAATAGAAAAGGTTCAAATAACTTTATTAAGAAACATTTATCAATCAGTAAGAAATCTTCTACTATAGCTGTTTTGGGTGATACTGGCAGATACAACCTGTGTGTTAGATACTATTGCAATTGTATCAGATACTGGTGTCGGTTAATTCGTTTACACCCTTCACGATATCCTGCAGCATGCTATCAAATGTTAAAGCAACATGATGAAAATGGTAGCCAGATTGGGTCCCCATGTACGTACACTATAATTCACAACAGGTTTCTCATATGTGTGGATAAATCAAGAGTTTGGCGACATTCCCTATTGATGTCTACATTTAAAAAGCGCTGTATTGAAATAAATGTTCCAGACTGGTATACAAGACTAAGCAAGTCACATTATCTTTCCTTCTATAAATCCATTAAAACTGTTTTTGAAGCTGAATCATATATTTTTTTCAGATATTTTACCTAAAGATTTATTAAGGCTGTTTGTTAAATTAAGATGTCAGTGTCATAATCTCAAAGTCCAGAAGTATAGGCAATGTAACAATAACATAAACGATATAACCTGCACACGTTGTTGTTTACATGAGATACAAGATTAATATCATATTACTCTCATCTGTCCATGTTATGAGTCTCTTAGAAAATTGTATGTACCTGTATTTTATATCAATACTCCCACAAGGATGAAATTCTGTAAGTTATTATCATGCAGTGACTTATCATTGATGAAATATGTTGCTATCTTTTTAAAGAGAACCCAAATATTTAAATGATCTCACTGTACAACCACACCGTATTATCGCTATTGCGATGTACTCTAGGCCATGAGGCCTTAAATTCTGTATGAAGTCTGTCTGTCTGTCATGAAAGAACACGGAGGTACCAGGTGACAACATACCAATTTCAACATACATTTCACGCCCTCGGCTGATAGATCGAGAATATAGAGAGACTAATTTAACGATTTTTAAACTTTACATACTGTCAAATTTGAACTCACGTTTTTCTGAATACCATCAATACCGACAGCCCCGTCGTTACATGCGCTATAGTCTGGAGTTAACCGTGCTACGTTTTCGAATGAATAGGCACTTTACTGTACGTCATTTCTTACATGCCCTCTATGTTCAGAATAACTGCCCAACACCACTTGTATAGGAACTCTACTGGGTGGTGTCGAGGGTACACAAGCCTGTCAGGGCTGGCGTCAGGGAAACACTGATACCACTGCTTTAAGTCAACTGCAGGAGACAGAAAAGGTGTGAAACAATGTAGTACGCAGGGTATTGCGTTCGGATCCAATTTCAAGTGATATAACAACATGGGTGACATCATCGACAAAGAGCAGCAGTAAAATGTCATGCAGTTCCTATTTGACACATATACCCCTTATACCAGGCACTATTTTGCATTTCGTCTATGTGACGATGATGTCACTTTGGTAGATGATTCTGTTGTAGGGCTGCAACGAAAATTAGATTTCCTCGAATCTCAGTTCACCCTGATCACATATCCAGGATTGTCAGCAGCAATCGTGGGTTTCTTACGTAAAGGTCTTAGACGTGCATCACGGACTTACTTCTAACAAGTTAACAGTGCTGAAATACTATTCCAAGGGCGTTAAACTCAACACCCTCACTCACTTCAGACATACGGACAACGAAATCTTAATTCCGGATAAAACGAGGGGTTAGAACATCGGTGGAGTCATAATGAATGAATCTGATAGCTGTAACCAATATTCGTAGTCACTCATAAACCAGCGGTGGCCATGACCAACAGGTCGTGATATACAGAGAATATATATGATATACATGTAAAATAGAAACACTTGACAGTCATTGATAATACTCGGTATGGATAAATAACATACTTGTAGTTGCACCATGCATTTCTCTGGATTCTGGTTTCAAATGACAGTAACCACT